AATGTCCATGTAGGACATTTTTTAAAAAAATTTCAATTAGCCCTAACCGGTTTGGCTCAGTGAATAGAGCATCAGCCTGCGGACTCAAGGATCCCAGGTTCGATTCTGGCTAAGGGCATGTACCTTGGTTGCGGGCACATCCCCAGTGGGGACTGTGCAGGAGGCAGCTGATCGATGTTTCTCTCTCATCGATGTTTCTAACTCTCTATCCCTCTCCCTTCCTCTCTGTAAAAAATCAATAAAATATATTTTAAAAAATTTTTTCAATTAAATTTATTGGAGTAACTGGTTAATAACATTGTATAAGTTTCAGGTATACAACTTTATAATAAAACATCTGTATACTCCATTGTTCACTTAAATTTTCTTCTAAAAGCTTTATTATTTAATGTTTCATATTTAGATCTCCAGCCCATCTAGTATGGATTTTTGTATGCTCACCCCCCCAAAGTCTAGTGTCCTTTCATTACCATATATTGACTTCCTTTACCCAGTTTGTTCTCCCCCATCAGTTCCCCTTTGGTAGCCACCATTCTGTTGTCTTGTTTGTTTTGTCTTATTTGTTCACTTGTTACTTTTTGTTTTACATCCCACATAGGAATGAAATCATATGGTTCTTGTTCTTTTCCATCTGACTTACTCCACTTAGCATAATACTCTCAAGATCTGTTCATATTATCACAAATGGCAATGTTTTATCTTTTTTATGACTGAGTAGTATTCCATTGCATATATACAACATGTTCTTTATTTAATCATCAGTTGAAAGACACTTAGGTTGTTTCTATATCTTGGTTATTTTGAATAATGCTACACCGAACACATGGGTACATATATTTTAACAGTGTTTTAATATTTGGGGGGAAATACCTTGATTCACCTCATACCATACACAAAAATCCATACTAGATGGATTGGAAATCTAAATATGAAACATCCTATCTAATAAATAGCGAATACGCTAATTGACCATCATGCCCTCACAAAATGGCGGTGCCCAGTCCCCTCAGCCCCACCGGGGGGCAGCAGGTGCCATGCGCCTCATCCAGCTGGAGTCTTCCAGTCCCCTCACCCCTGCCTCATCCAGCCTCAGTTCCCCAATCCCTTCAGCCCTGCCTCATCCAGCCAGAGTCCCCTTAGCCCCACCTCATCCAGCCAGAGTCCCCCAGTCCCCTCAGCCTCTCAGAGGAAGCCAGTTGGGGGTGATTGCCTGGCAGGGGAGGGCAGTTGGGGACGATCATGCTGGCAGGGGAGCAGTTAGGCATCAATCAGGCCAGCAGGGCAGCGGTTATGGGGCTATCAGGCTGGCAGGCAGAGTGGTTAAGGGCAATCAGGCAGGCAGGCAGGTGAGGGGTTAGGAGCCAGCAGTCCCGGATTGTGAGATGGATGTCTGACTGCCATTTTAGGCCTGATCTCACAGGGATCAGGCCTAAACCAGGAGTCAGACATCCCCCAAGGGTCCCAGATTGGAGAGGGTGCAGGCTGGGCTGAGGGACAACCGCCCCCCTACATGAATTTCGTGCACTGGGCCTCTAGTCAAATAATGAAGCTTTTAGAAGAAAATATAAGTGAACATCTTTGTGGCCTTAAATAGAGGCAAAGGTTTTTTAAACAGGTCACAAAGAGCTTTTTTCACACAGCAAAAAACATTATAACTTGGATTATATCAAGAATTTCTGTTCCACAAAAGGTATCATTTCAAGAGCTTGAAAAGGGAAACCACAGAGTGGGAGAGAACATTTGTATTCCCTCCCTCTCTCTTCTTCACTCCCTCTTTGTTTCTGACTCTGTCTCTCTATCCCTTCCTCCTCCTCTCTCTCTTGCTCTCTCCCTCTCCCACCTCTGACAGAAGACTCATACCCAGTGTATATAAAGAGCTCTTATAAATCAAGAAGAAAAAGACAACTCAATAGAAAATTTCATAAAATAATTGAATAGACAGTTCACAAGAGGATATACAGATAGGCAGTAAGCATACAAGATAGGTGCAGCTTGACTTATCACTGAAGAATACACGTTCAAACCACCATGTGAGAACACTGTGTACTACCAGAAGTGCTACAGTGTAGAGAAGACACACAGTACCAAGTGTTGGTGAAGATAGGAGGCAGCTGGAACTCTGAAAATTGGAATAGCCATGTTGGAAATAGGTTTGACAGTATTTACAAAAGTTGAACATACCCAGTGAATCAGTGACTCTCTTCTTATGTGCACACCCAATAGAAGTACAAATATATGTGCATTGAAAGACATGTACAAGAATGTTTATAGCAGCTGTATTCATAATGATCCAAGCTGAAAACTTCACAAAAGCCCCTTAGCAGTCAGCTAGATAAATACTAGAATAGTGCAGTGAAGATTAATGAACTACAACTGCAATATAGCAATACAGATGAATCGCATAAACATATTTACATTAGTTATTCTTTGTTGTGGAACCAAGTACCACATATGTAGCAGCTTAAAACAATACACATTTACAATCTCACTTCCTTTGAGTCCTTTGCATCAGAGTTCTCATAGGCTACAATCAGGGTGGCCAGGGATAGGTTCTCATCCTAAGGCTCAACTGGAGAAGGGCCTCCAGTCATGGTCGTTGGCAGAAATCAGTTCCTGAGGACTGTTAAACTGAGGGCCTCCATGTTTTAGCTGGCTACTGGCCAGAGGCTACCCTCAGTCCTTGTCACATAGACCTCTCCACAATAATTGCTTACTTCATCAAAGCTAGCAAGCCAAGAAGGCAGTAGTATCTGCTAGGAAGCTGGAAGTCACAGTCATGCACAATCTAATCACAGAAGTGGCATTCTGTTACCTCTGCTATGTTCTATTGGCTAAAGCAAGTCACAGGTCCTGCCCGTGCTCCAGGGAGGAGATTAAGTAAGCATGTGCATTCCAGGAGGTGGGGGGCATTGGGGATTATCTCCTCACCATAATGTAAGCAAAGTTCAAAATGAGGCACAACTCCTAGAAATCAAAATAATGGTTATGCTTGAGGTAGTTAGTGACTAGAAGGAAGTCCAAAAAGGACCTTTGGAGTGCAAGTAGTTTTCTGTTTCTTGATCTGCATGCTGATTAATTGCAAAGGTATGTTCCATTTGCAAAAAGTCATCAAGCTGTGCACTCATGATCTGTGCACTTCAGTGTCTCTATGTTATAATCAATTAAACTTTTTAAAAATGATGCCCGGTTGCATCTCTACAGATGAGATTTACTTTGAGTGTTCTCTGTAAAACTTAATTTGCAGGTATAAAACCACAAAGACAAAGAACAGGAAAGGAGACAACAGCAATTGAGAGACCTCAAGTTTTGGAAGCAGATAAATGATGAATAAGTAGTAACCAATTTTGCAGGCTCCATTTCCTTTTAATATAACTGAAATCTAAACCTGAAAAGGGGAGAGAGTGGAAACTGAGTAACATATAAAGCACACCAATTCACATTGCAAAGCCCTGGAGAGGCTCAGGAATTGGGGGTTCTGATGTTTGTGAAGATAGGGTTATACCCCATGTAAATAGTCCTCCCCAACTACCCGTGCTGGAGGAGCTGGGCCAGAGAGGCACTGGATTGGGGTTTCTGTAGAGTAAGGGCCGGAACTGAAAACAGGAAGGTTAACTCAAAGTCCACACACTGAAAGTCCAGAGTGTCATTGGCTAAGCATACATGTCGAGTGGGAAATTAAGAGGATTCTTTTACAGAGGAACTGACCCACCAAAGAGAAAAGGCCCACGGGGCTGTTTGTGGATCCCCTGATGGAATGCCAGGAAATCCACCTAAAAGCGCTACCTGAACCCATTGATGTTCAGCAGTTTTGCCCACCGGTGGTTTCCAAACAGCATTCCAGTGCTTCCCTCTTCGGTATGATGGAGCAAAGGTCATCAGATGTTTGAGGAAAGACCAGAGCAGGGAAACTGAATGAAAAAAACAGGAGGAAATAAAAACTACACAATGATACTGGGGTGAGGGGAAAGATAACGGACTGCATCTATGCAACAATACAGGACATTTAGAAGAAAAGGAACAGAAACTAACGTATTCTTAGAAACTATTAACCAGGTTAAAAATAAAATCCAAAGAATATGTGGAAGATAAGATGGAGGAAAATCTACACCAAAATAGAAAAAAGTAAAAACTGGGAAAGAAAAGAAAATTGGAGGGTTGGCCTAGGAAATCCAATATATGAGTTGCTGGGGTTCTTGTCCCAGCAGCAAGGAGGGTTCAGGAATCTGGAAAAGGCACTGTGCGTAGATGACATAGGAATCCAGAGACTAATAAAGAGTCCGGAGACGAGATATAATTTTGAAAGGCATTGGGGGTCAGAGGACCTTCAGCTAAAGGAACTGAAGAGTGCCTCCTTGTCTAGGACCCTTGCTTTTAACACAATTTGTCCTAAGGCAAGGTGGAGATAATACACTTCAAAGGGTAAGGTTTCAAAGGGTACAGTAGCATTGTCAGTTTGGGGAATAGCCTACGGCTGTTCAGGTATTTGGCCAGTAGGAGGCAATAACATGTACGTTAAGATGCCCTTTGACTGTCTGGCAGCCACAACCAGTTTCCTATTCAGGTTTGGGGAAATGCCTTTAGCCATTCCCAACAGGTGACTACATGTATGACTCAACCCTGTTGAGTCCCCAAGTTTCATCAACCTTTTGATGAAACTCTTGAAATTATGACATGCTGGAATTGGTCTACAGCAATGAGTCATTGGTGATAGAGAAAGAAGAACAGAGTAAATGAAAGTGAGAGAATTGTCACAAAAAGGAATCAGGCCTACTGAGTACCCAGCACAGAAAATGAAAACGGACAACACCAAGGAACGGCATGAAATGTCAGAATATCGAAGTTAAGAGAGGATACATGTCTGTGGGTCTGGGGAAGAATACATACGAAAGATTAGAAATCAGAATGACAGCTGACTTAACTAAGAGCTGGAAGGTAATGGAGCAATGTCTTCAGAATTCCGGAGGAAAAGCATTTCTCACCTAGAGACTTGTAGCCAAAGGATCGGTGAAGTGTGGGATTAGGAGAGAGAGATACAGTTTCTCTAAATAGTTAGTGCTCCCCCTGTGGTCTTCCTCAGGAAGCTGTTCCTTGGAGCATGTGTCCCATCAGAACTAGCTGATTATCTAAGAAAGAAGAGGACATGGGAGCCAGGAGGCAGAGGAGCGGGGATTCACCAGAGGGAGGTGGGAGCAGCGTCCAAGGTGGCAGCTGCCCACCTAGGTCTGGAAAGCACCGTGTGGATTTGAAGAGGGGGATGTAGTTCCAGGAGAGATGTTGCCAAGAAGGAGAACACATAGCCCACCCCAGACTTTTAAAACATACGTGGCATGGCCGACCTACTCAGACGAGATCCAAGGTTATGTGAGAGGTTAGGGGTCAGTCGGAAACAGATAGAAAATTGGGAAAGTGGTTCACAACGGAAGAGGCAGTTATTCAGTCCCAGGAAAACAAACTGTGCAAGAAAAAACACTTCCTGCACCTGTAAACTGTTGGAAAGATAAGAATGAGGATTGTGGGGCTGGTGAGTGGGGTAAAAGAATGTCATGTTTTGCCCTGGCTGGTTTGGTTCAATGGGTAGAGCATCAGCCTGTGGACTGAAGGGTCCCAGGTTTGATTCCAGCCAAGGGCCCATGCTTAGGTTGTGGGCTTGATCCCCAGAAGGGGGCATGCAGGAGGCAGTCGATCCATGATTCTCTGTCATCATTAATGTTTCTCTCTCTCTCTCTCCCTCTCCCTTCCTCTCTAAAATCAATAAAAAGAAGAAGAAGAAGAATGTTACGTTTTCATAGTCTCTAGTAGGAAGTTATTGTAGAAACATCTCTTAGAACAGTTTGGACTGTCGCTAGTTGTGCATGAGAATTACCGAGAGTGTTAGCTAGAACACAGGTTCCTGGGCCCTACCCTCAGACTCTTTGGTTCTGTGTGTCTGGTATGGTTCTAAGAATCTGCATTTATAACAAATTCCAGGGTCTACACTCAGAAAACCAGAGATACAGAAAAGTGAAGGGAAAATTCCAGGAAAAAAAAACAAAAAAACATCCCACAGTTCAAAGTGTTTGTGTAGTAGGAATGGAGAAGGTGATATAAACAATTGCTGTTTCATTTATAAATCTTGTTAGTACTTTTGATATTTTAAACTACAATTGACCCTTGAACACAACATGGTTTGAACTGCACCAGTCTACTTATATGCGTATTTTTTTAAATTAATATAGGGGAGAACCGAAGATGGCGGCATAGGTCAGATGAAAACCAGTGTTTTCCATCCCCAGATGCATGGTGCCAACTATGCATTGTTCTATAGCGTTTTATAGAAATGCTATATATATTCTTGCCAGTCTGAATATTGGGTGGATTTTGGTATCCATGGGGATCCTGGAACCAAGCCCCAGTGGAAACCAAGGGACTGTAATTAAGTTTTGAGGGAGTCAAGTTATGTGCAGATTTTTAACTGCACGGTGGTTGGCACCCCTAACCCCCATGTTCAAGGGTCAAATGTATGACCTTGTACTATATGTTTTGATATTAAGTTTATCTGAAACCGAAATAGATGCTATATCCTTGCACCTAAGTTTATGCTCTTCACTTACAACAGAGACTTTTGCAAAGCCTATATATTTTTACTTTTTTAATTGAATTAAATTTTTTATTAATCCTCACCTGAGGATATGTTTTCATTCATTTTTAGAGAGAGAGAGAGAAATATTGATCTGTTGCCTCTTGTACACTCCGACCTGGGATTGAATCCACAACCTAGGTATGTGTCCTGACCAGGAATCGAACCTGCAACCCTTTTGGCACACCCACACCTGGTGACATTCAAACCAACTGAGCCACCCAGCCAGGGCCAGGGCCATATACTTTATTTTTCACATAGCTCTAACAAAACGTACTGACTGGTATAGGAACTTGGACAGCCACCTGATACTATGTAAAGAAGCACAGAACGGCCCACTGGGTTTTTCCTGAGCAGGTTCTGTCATGCTCAGCACAGTACTGTTCTTGGTATTCATAATAATAACTGACTCATTAAGAAATGGGCAAGTGTCTGTTTGGTATATTTTATTCAAGGAAGTAGGAGACGAGGATATCTTTAGATTTCATTTCAAGATGAAATATGCATTAGTTATCTAGAAAATTCCCTTCTGTGGAATACCTCATTGCTAAATTAAGTATTACACAGTCATTTAGGTCTGTTACTTTATTTTATATCAATATGTTTTTATTGATTTCAGAGAGAGAGAGAGAGAGAGAGAGAGAGAGAAACATCAATGATGAGAGACAATCATTGATTTGCTGCCTCCTGCACGCCCTATACTAGGAATGGAGCCCGCAACCCGGGTATGTGCCCTGACTGGGAATTGAACCGTGAGCTCCTGGTTCATAGTTTGACATTCAACCACTGAGCCACGCCAGCTGCTAGCTCTGTTATTTACTCTCAGCATGCTCCACATGGCACGAGTGGAGAAATGGGTGTTGTTTCAATCTCAAAGGGTTTAATTGAATAACTCATTCTTTCTTCCTTTCAGCTCTGCTCCAACTGTGAGCGGAGAACCCATCTTGAAGCAGAAGTGTTTACTGACAACGGAGCTCTAAGGGATTGCCTCCTCCTCGCCTGTACCTGGAATGCCCAGCACCCTCCCACAGTCCGCCCTGGAATCAGTTCTGCTGAATGTGTTGGATTCAGGAGTTTGCCCTGTACTTGTTGGTAAAACAAGTTTGCCTAGATTTGACTTCAGTTCCATGAAAAAACAACTACGTGTTTTGTCTGCCTGGAAGAGTTTAATCACACTGCGTGTTTCCTCAGATGAGGTGCCTGGTCTTTTACTTTTAGTTTTCGAAGTTTTAAATTCCCAAAGCAAGGGAATGGCGTTCCCTATGGTTTGCTTCAAGCTCTTGGCCCCACCTAGAGGCTGTAATTGTTCACAATGCTTCCTAACGAGGCAGCCTCTGGTGTCAGGGTGAGTGTCCCTCGCCTGTTAGAGAGCTTGCACTTTTCTCTGCATTACCCGGAAGTCAGGGGTTTAGGAACGTAATGAGGATATTATGTAGGTAGGTGCAGTGCTAGCTTTCTTTCTCTTTTTAACGATTATTACAGTGCTAAAGAGCAGTTTAGAATACAGAGGGTTTCCAAATGTTGCCCATATTTTTGAATTCTTACTGGACTGGCTTCTTAGTTACATCAAGGTAAGACAAACCTTGAGGAGAACTACAGAGAAATCAATAGCCCGTCATTTTCAGCTCGGCCTTCCCACAGGAAGCAGTCATGCACCACAGGTTTCCTGTAAGTGTTCAGCCGGGAAAGGGGAGGGTGGGTGAAAGTCACCCTGGGCGTGTCCTCCTTCCTCACTCCTCTTCCTGGGCCCACAGACTCGGTGAGGAGGGAGCACAGACGCTCCGGGCTGGCCTCCACGCAGGTACCTACTGAGCTCTAAGGGATTGTGTATGCAATTCAGTGCTCATGTGCGCTGCTCAGCATAGAGGAGCGTCCAGTTTAGATCTTTAAACTCCTGGTGTAGGCTGTCCTGAGCCATTCGTGTGCTCAGGGGAACACACCAGCGTCTGGAAAGCTCAGGAACTCAGATGTGTGCTGTTTCCCACCGAGCCAAGCAGTAGAGATTGGAAACCACTTTGAACAAAGCAGCTCTGCTGAAGAAAAGAAAGTTCCCCTCCTGCCGCCTGCCTCCCCTTAGCCTTTCCGCTCAGCTTGTGAATCTCATTGTGGAGCTCTTGCCAGTTCTTAATTGTAAGACAAACTGCAGGGCCCCTAGGGCAGGGGCTTGCCCAGGACACGGCCTGGCCCTCAGCGCTTCAGGTCCGACAACCCTGGATGCGCTCACTGAGAGCTTGGAAGGCCCACAGTTCCGTCCAGCTTGTACAGTAGCACCATCCTCACTTTTAACTTTCTAGTATTTAGGGATTATGGTGATGTTGTTGAAAATATTCTGTAGCCTTTGTGTGGTCAGGCACCTGTATGCTTGCCAGTCTGAATAGTGATAGGGACTTTCTTAAAATTGATGTGAATCTCAAACTAAAAGGACATTTGGTCTCGTCCTGACATGAGGTGTTAACATGGAAATGACTGCTTTTTAAAAAAATCCTCACTCAAGGATATTCTTTTTCATTGATTTTTAGAGAGAGTGGAAGGAAGAGGGAGAGACAGAGAGAAACACCATGTGAGAGAGACACACTGATTACTTGCCGCTGGCATACCTCGGATTAGGGCCAAGAATCAAACCCCAGGACCCCTCAGTCCACAGGCCGATGCTCTATCCACTGAGCCAAACCAGCTAGGGCTGGAAATGAGTGCTTTAATGAGGGTTTAGCCCTGACCAGTTAGGCACCTGCCCGCTACACCTCTCCTGTCCTAGCTGCTGCGGGTGCCTTCCAGAGCCCTGTTAACACTCATCTTGTTCTGCTCATCTGGGGATGGAGGAGGAGGGCCGGCTGCGGGTATCTGTGACGTGTCAGAGAGGGAGCGGGAGGTCAGTCTCTGAGGAGAGAAGCCGTGTGAGGGAGTAGAGGATGCTAGCAGAGAGATCTGCGATGGCACTGGGTAAGAAGGCGCTGGTTCCTGGGGTGGTAACGGGGGCAGCTGTGGTGGCTCTACAAGCTGGTGACCTCGGGGGCACAGCCCTCATTCCAAAGGTTAAAATCCACATCTAAGTCATCTGATGAACTGAATCAAGGCCGCATCCTCAGATGAGGGGAAGTGGCCCTGCTCACTGTTGAGAATGACTGAGCCGGGCAGGAAGTCTCTGAATGGAGATGAGGTTCCATGCAGCACAGCGCAGCTGGAATGCAGCAGGCGCACGAATGCGCTGGGAGCAGTGAGAACACCTCTGAACAGCGGAGAGCTCGTTTCCGTGAGCCCCCAGCTACAGAGCTGTTCGCTTCCTCCTCTGGAGGGCGTGGGTGGATGTTTAGCTGAGATGACGGACCCAGATGCAAAAAGCAACAGAAGGCTCTTTAGCCCAGGCTCAGCTGCGCCGTGGTCACTTCCTTTCCGGTTTCCAGGCCAGGTTGGCTCTGCTGGCTCCCTCGGGGTAGCAGGATAGAGCTTGTGCCTGAGCGGGGTCTGGCGGGTGTAGATGTGATGGCGCTGTTGTCCCCTTGCCGTGGCCTCATTGGCCTGTGAGTGTTGCTGTCACTGCTACCTAACGCTTTGCTGTGCACTGCCCTGGGGACACTTCCCTCGGTCCCTGCAGTGGCCTGTGTGCTGCTGGCCGTGGGGGAGCAGGAAGGGCAAGAGCCTCAAATCAGTGGATGCCAGCCCTGGTGGGAGGGCGAATGCCGGTGAGGAGGAGGGTGTAGGTTTCGGAGTTGTGCCCTGGCCCCTTCTGCGGAGCCTGGGCGGGAGCGTCCGGTCTCCTCCTGCTGCTCAGTGGTGTTGCCTGTGTCCAGGGATGGCTGGTGGTCCTTTCTTTCCTGCCCTTCTGGAGACACTGCTGAACAGAGAAAGGTTGGTCTCCTTAGATCCTGATAAATTCAGACGGTCCCTAGCAGCTTTCCCGAGACTTTATGATGCTTTAAGAAAAATTGTGTTTAGAAATACTTTTGCAGTCGGCTAACTGTTGGTCTTCTTTTGCACGATCACGATGTTCTGTGGACAATTCAGGAGGACAGCTGGGTCGGAGCTTGACTTAGCTGCTCGGTTCCGACTAGCACCCTCCTCTGCCTTCTTGCCTAGATGAGCCCTGTCAGAGCAGAGTGCCCGCAGGCTTCGGGGCGCTGAGGCGGTGAGGGTCTGGGGAAGCCATCTCTTGTCTCCTCGCCCAGAGAGGCTGAGCAGGCCTCCTGTAGAAGCAGCGGCAGCTAGTTCTTCCTGCGAGGCCATGGAAGTGCCCGGGCATGTGTGTTCCGGGGCAGTTCACTTACAAGCTCAGGTGCGAGTCCTGATTCAAGCTTTGTGGTTGGTAGACCGGCTCCGTGGGAGGCGGGCAGGTGTGCACAAGCCTGCATCACCTGTCATGGGGGCACCGGGCATTCCAGACCTGGGCCTCTTCACTCCCACGCAGACAGGATGTGGTCTTGGGCCTCCGGCTCTGGGAGCCTTTGGAGCAGCCGCCAGTTTCCCGTTAATCTTGCCCTCAGCCTCTAGCTGC